TTTTTCCTTTATGATGGGATCATTGGTCAATAAATTAAGCATTAATCTTCTTTCTTACAGAAACTACTGAAAACACAATTTGTGTTGGCCTTGCTCGTGTGGGTGCTCCAGATGAGAAGATTGCAGCAGGCACACTACAGCAGATGTCCAGTGTGGAATTGGGTGGTCCACTACATTCCTTAATTGTTACAGGCACTATGCATCCTCTGGAATTAGAGATGCTTAAGCTCTTCTCTGTAGATAGTTCCAGTTTTGAAAATAATGCATGTCAAAGGACCTCTTAAATAAAAATGAGGCATTTACATTTTTATTCCATTTTAAATTTTGTAACAGCATAAAGTTATTCCTGTGAATATTTAAGACTTGCCTAACGGCAGTTACACTACATATTGCTTCAGAAGACAGTACTGTAGGAACATGGACCTGCTTTCACCCGAGGCTGCAAGTCTATGCTTCTACCATGTAGACCCTCCAGACAGTTTTAAACACATCAGCATCACTTGTGATCAAGGGGACATCACTTTTGCTGTAGTCCATTAACCAAGCCTACTGCATACATTGTTATAAGTGCATTAGATGTTAAATTTCGCTTTTCAACTTCCCAGAAACTTAGTAGTCCTCTCACCAATAGAAACCATTAGCATGCAAAACCTGTTAGGTCTGTGTCCATCTTTACTTTGGGAGAGTGAATACAGACAGGTGAGAATGCTCTAAACCGAGAAAAACAAGAACTTACCCTTTGATCAGCTGGTGAAACAGATGCAGAAGCTGCACAGAATTTCTTATTTCAGAAGGCTGCAACTTAAAATAGAACTGGATTTCTTCATATGTTAATGCTAGCATTCACGAAGGGCTGGACTCAAACTGCAACAACCACAATTAACCTTAAGCCAAGTCTCAGCAGAGTGCAAGAATTCTCTTTAAAATCAGCTAGTGGATGGTGGTGGTCACTATTTCAACTAGTCTTCACAGTAAGATGACAACAAAGCAGACCTGTATACATTTTTTTTTTTAAATGAAGATTTATTGAAAAGAAATTTGATCCCATATTCTTTTCAGCAATATAGGATATTTAACATTTTATATAGACTGTATTCAAGTAGAAAAGATTACATTAAAAATTTCTTAATATTGCACTTGGGACAAGTCGTGGCTAAGCTACTAACATTAGCATTCCAGAACAAATCATACATAGTCTTCAGAAGTTTAGCGAGCTGCCTTGTGATTTCTTCACAGGTACTTTGATACACTGTGCTATTCAACTTTAGCTCACTGCTAAGAGTAATTCCTGTAATTTAAAGGTAAAGGTAAGCAATATGCTATCTGCTACCAGGAATGATTTTGGCAATTGCTTCATTCACATTATTTCACACTTCAGCCAAAATACTGTAGCCATTCACTTAACTCTTGTACAAGATCCCAGCATACATGTGAGAGACTCCAATGCACATGGGAAGTGAAATACCCACCTCCTTTTACTTATTATTTCCGCCAAATTACCACAGAGGCAGGAACTTTTTGTGGCTCACTGAAACAGAGAAGCAGATTAAGCAGTATTTGCACACAGCAAGACAGTCTTCGCATGCCAGGCACAGCAAAGCATGACTGGCATCTTCACATTACAGCAGTGTCTGGCCAATGGAGTCCCAACAGGGATGGTCACTGCAACAAAGCCTGAATGGGGGACAAATCCAAAAGGGAATAGAAGTGTAAAGGAGGAATTAACTACTGAGTCAGTATTAGGGATCAGACAGATTATTAAAAAAGGGAAAAAAGAAAATCCTGCTTAAAGGGGTGGATAATCAAGAATCATAGCAAGTGGCAGTCTGATGGCTTCTGGAAGAAACAGGACAGGGCTTAATTATTAAATAAAACTGTTGCTCTGAACTGGTATTTAAAGACCTTGTTTCACGAAGAGAGAGAAGGGTTTGCATTTTACAGAACTGTGCAACTGAAAATTTGCACTGTGCAACTGCAACTGAAATCTGCACTATGAGAGAAATGCCATAGACTTTACAATCTGAACGCAGAGTATGTGCAAAGGGTGGAAAACTGCACGTCAGCAGCAGCTTCTCTCCCCTCTTGTATCTTGTCTGAATTCCCAAAACGGGTTCACTTACAACAGTTAAAAAGAGAGACTCTTACTTTCCTTCACCTTTAAAGCCAGTTTTACTTAAAAAAAAAATTAAGAATGTTAAGAGTCACTAATGTCCATTTTATTAGTAGCAGCAGTTTCAATTTTTATGTAGAAATAGTGTAAGCAGCTCTTACTAATGATGCAACTAAACTTTTGTTTTAGTAAGCAGAATTACATAAAAACCAGAGTCATTTATTTGCTTCTTGCACTTTTTGCCTTAGTTTAGCAAATCACACAAGTAACTCAGCTCTCTGTAGGGGCCTAGCTGATGTAAGGAGCCAGTCTGTACATATCTGTAGACTTACCTGATTAGCCTATAAAGGACCAGTCTTCACTGTGCATATTCATAAGAGTAGTTTTCTTCCACTGTTATTTACCATAAAAAACAGTGGGGCATTTTCATACAGACACTCTGCAGCATTTATCTTCTTATTTTGCTGTAGGTGCAGTAAAAATCATGCAGTTTGCAGGCTTGGTCTTTGGGACAACAGGGTTGTAAGTTACTGGTTTAAGTCACAGAAAAAAAACAAACCACAAAGACAGACTACGTTTGACCCCACAGTAAGCTCAGCTACATGAAAACATGAGAAAACCATAAATTGAAAACTTAGTTCAAAATTCAGTAGTGAATACCAGGAGGCTGAGTTTTAGCAGATGATCTGCAGACATTCATCCATCTCTGGATGTCAGCCATTCACAAAGCTTTGTTTAAATGATGCCATGCATCTCCAATAAAGTGTCAAAAGCAAAGTGTTACATAAGCAGCCAAGTGTTAGGTAATTAGCAAAACACAAAGTAATGGCCCTTTGGCTCTCAGGGTAAGAAAAGCTGCACTGTCAATTGCGTGATTTGTACTCTCCTAAAACCTGAGCAAGTATCCCCTCAGTAAGTGAAAAAAATAAATCTGATGTCACTGGGTTTACTGACATACTAGATATGACTGTAGTTACCTACGGAACATGTCATATACTGTCTTCTGTAACGTTTTGTGATGCTTATTTTTTTTCAGAAAGCCTAAAAAGGCTTAAAGTCTATTTTAAATCTGACTTCCCTACACTATCCCCAATTATATTTGACAAACAAATGATACATTTCTTACTATAAAACACCAAGTTTAAAAATAACGAAGTGCTACCTTGGTTAGAAAACTCAGACTTGCACATATCCTTCCAACAATCCCATAAATCATAATAAGCAAAAAAATAAAAAATCAAAAGTCATTAAAATTGTTTTTATAATTATAACTGGCTTATAGGCTTTTTCACTCCATTTGCCATATTAAAAAAGTCTGTAGATGTACACTTAAAAAAATACCACCACCAAAAAAACCCAACTGCCACTTGGCCAGATTGTCACTTGGAAACAAATAGGAGCAGTTGTCTTGTGATTAAGAAAACTAAAATAGTGGCCAAGCTCAGTGACTAGGGCAGCACTACAGTATTTTATCAAGTCCAGGAATACCCAGTCCCAAAACATGCTGGTATAAAAATTTAAACCAAAGCCTGCTCTTGGATCATGACACAATGGCACTGAAGTTGGCTGGTGCTTGCCTTTAAAGTAGTATCAGTTGATCTTCTCTAGCCTCAAATAGCAGTAACATTAACTATTGAAAAATGAGGAAGTCATGCTGTCAGCCAACAAGCAGCAGTCTATATACAACACACTACAAAACAGTAACTCCACCCTATAATCACAACCAGATTTTAATCACCTTTTCTGTGAACATACATGCACATGGTATCTTAAACTGCAATGCTCAAATCTGCTCAACAGATTCTTGCACCCCACCCTGTGCTGTGTAACTCCCAGATCCCATCTTTCAGTCAGGAAAGTCTGGGCCGGGCAGGGGATCTGCAAGGTGAGACGGGGAGAGAGCCTGACAGAGCGCCAGGCAGGAGGCCAGAAGAGAGATGTGGAGCGGTGCAGCCAGATGAAGGGGCACTCACTCTGCACCCGCATCCCCAGGAGCAGCCAACAGGATGAGAAGCCAGCAACAGGGATAAAGAAGGATCTGAAGGCTGGAAGAGACTATAAAGTTTAAATGCAATAATATATGTGGCTTTGTACTGCTATTTTTCTTTGCACCCAGTTTTCGGTTCCAAGCACAACAGTACACCCCCAAGCTCTGTACAAAATCAACATTCATGTTTCAATATCCCATCTGGAAAAGTCAGGAACCACCTATCAGTTTGGCAACTGTTGTTTTTTCACATGAGAAGAAATCAAAATTCAGGTGCTCTATAGGAACAACAGAGTGAATGCAAGAAACTCTTCATATCTGCTATGAATTCAGCAATATCAGTGGCAAACATTTCTGCAAATCAATCTTCAGTAATGTCGTAGTGCCTAGCACTTACTACACAGACATTGTCAGCTTCAGAGGGCCTTGATTTCACTATTACCACATAACAGGTACCAAAAAAATACTTAAAATCCATACCGGTCAGTGGCAGCTATGATTTATCAGAAAAATGCCTGCCTTGTTTTTTACTCCACAGTGTTCTGTTTGGAAAATGTCCTCTTAAAAAGTCTTCCATTACTAAGTTAACGACTACAGCATAGTGGAACTATCATCTGTAATACCAAGTATAGAAGATTTGTTTTGAAAACAACACTCAGATATCTGAGCAAAATGATTATAAATGCTAGAAAAATATGACAGACTAATGTTTCTGGAAAAACAACCAAACAACCAACCCATGCTGCACTAAGAACTTTCTTCCTCATGAAAACATACAAAAGCTACAGTAAGATAGTCAAAGATATCAGACTTGTTAACCTGGGAAACATGAAACATGGTCCTTATTCCATTTTGGGTACAGCCACCAGGAAAAACTATTTTCCGTATTTGGAAAGGCAAAAATTATCTCACCAATCACTTTAATAAAAATTATTACAACCTATTAAAATCAAGGAGATTTAAGCTTTCACAAACAATTTCGAGATTTAGTTTTTTCCACCAGGATTTGGAAAATATAAAACTTCAAGCATTGCTTCCATCACCAGCATCTTCCCTCAGCTGTCTGTTGCTTAAGTGACTATAAAAATGAGTAGCATCATGTAGTGTCTCGTTACTTTCAACAGTATGAAGAGACTAAGAATTGGAGTTAAATCTTAATATTTTGACTAAAATAATTTTCACAAGACATGTGCAACAAAATACCCAGCTTGTTTTGGAAGCAAGTCTCTTCACAACAGCTTTGTCTTTTACATTTAGAATTCTTCTGTCTGGTAAGATGCAAGTATAATGGAAGTCTAACATCTACAGTTATGCAAGTACACAACCCCCCCATATACATCACTAGTAAATAATCAGACTGCATACAAGATTATTTGTAAAAGTAATAAAACCCTTTGATGCTCCATATTTATGCTGGCAAATAGCTCTCCTGATATAAAAGGCACTTTGAAAACCCAATATGGTTTGGTTCATTAAGTTTGCAAAGTACAAACAATTGTACAAACATACAATTATATTGAAGCATGTCAACCATTGTGACATCATCTACAAAACAAGTTTCCAATTGTCAATAACACTGGTTTTATGGGAATGAGCAGTGGTTTCAGCAGCTTTACTGAAGACATGACAGGGTTTCCAGTACCGCAATCTTATTAAGTAAAAACCCCTCAAAAACTTACAAGTTTGGGGGCCCCAAAAAAACCAAGACCCAACGTCCATAACATTCATTCAATATTTACTCCTTGGAAGTGAACTCCACCCATAGCCCAAGGGCAGAAATCTATTCAGTCGATTCCAGAACAGTGGTGGAGGCAGGCTCTGTCTCGAGAAGTAGGTTGTTGTACCAGTACAGTACTGAAAACTTTGGTCCAACAGCACAATTCCAGAAATTCACTACATGGCTGCAACATCAATCTGTATGTAAAGCTGTCTTACTCCCGCCTAGGGAAAAGGGAAGGAGAGTTAAAACCCGGTAAAACCAAAGCAATTTACCTGTCCTGAACATCAGTTCACACCAGTAAGTTACCTAGCAAAAAACCTCAATGTCTCATTTATCTGTAATTCATCTCCCATATTTAGCACATCATTCACTGAGAGCACAGTGTGAATACAGAGTTCTTCACACAGTCAAGTAATGATATATTAGCATTAGCTTTGCTACATTACCTTCTCTGAATCATCCTAAATCACTGCCATTCGGGAAGCTGCACAAAAGCAATTCTTACTTTCTTTTGTACAAGTTTAACTTCATGAAAAGTAAGCTGCTTGAAGAGCTGTTGGTTTAAAATGAAGCTAAGCACAAGAGCGTAACACAGGATTTTGTTGTTCAAACCAGTTCTAAATTATGCTTTTGGCAAGAAAGTCATCACATGTGCAAGCAGCCAGCGCAGTGAAAAGCTTGAATAGGTCCAGTCTGTGGTTGGAAGCCCTACCCCAAGGGAAGCCTCGGCTATTTTCTTGGTTCCTCATAGGTCAATATAGGTCAACCCAATTTGATACACCTGAGGTGTTATTTCCATTAAGTGACATCAAAAACGAATGCAGAGAGGTACAGTAATTCCACCTACACAACTGAGTATTTTGAAATTGTTCTATACAGATGGAGCAGAGAAGCTTTCCAAAACACAGACTCCAAACCCAGAAACATTTAATTTTGCTTGATAAGAATTACAATGTCACATCATGTGACACGCAATTTATGTTTTGAGATGTGATTTCCACTGATAAGACATACCTGAGTAAAAATATTGTGAGTCTGGCTTAGAATCCACCTTCCATCAGCATCAGGAGCTACTAATAATTTCAAAGTCCCTATGTAAACATCAGTACAGAGGGTCCAGAAATGTGGATCATGTAAACTGTAAACTCCTTGCAACTGCTGCACCTAAAAATACAGGCAAATTTCAGAAAACGTATTTCAGAAAATGTTTGTCTGTACTATGTTTTTTACAGAAAATAGTATAAAAGCCAATGCATTCTTTTCCTTCTAGTTCACTGTGGAATTTGTGATCTTTTAGCAAAATTTCTCATTACTATCTCAGTTATCCTAAGGAAGGTGAAATCATTCAGATTTGTGTATATGCCACGATTTTGTATCATGCATTTACATTCTACATGTATTTTACTGAAACCATTTCTGAAAATAGAGGTGTCCAAAAGAAAAAAGTCAGCTACTGAATTTGAGAGGGCATTCAATTAAAACTGCAATTTTCGCAAATGTGGGAATTCTGCCATGAAAAAATTTGTGAGATTCTAACTTCAATGAAAACGTATTCATATATAATTTATATTAATACATTAACGTTTCTGTAAATATTCTGCGAGGGCTTAGGTTTGTCCTGCCAACCCCCTGCTTTTTCCTCTGTCCAATTGCAGCAAACCCTCCAAGTGACCAATTCCAACCTGTAACTCCCCCAGGGCAGACAGCATTCCTACAAGTGCTTCCTATTAACTTTGCAAAGACACTTCAGTGTTCAGGTCATGACATTGTAATAGATTAGTTAAAGAGGAGAACAGGTCAAATACAGAGTAACCTATGTATACTCAAATACACTTCCAATGTTAGTCCACCTCACATTCCTAAGAACTAGATTTTGTGGGAGACAAAAACTGAACAAAACAGAAAAACATTTTGCACTTTGTATAAGCACAGAACACTTTGGGAGGAAAAGCTTCAGGATCTATTTTTCTTCACTAACATGGCACATTTTTAAAACACAAACAAGGAGAAGCTACATACAATTTGGGACTTCAGGAAAACATTAATTAAACTAGTACCTCCATTTGTATATTCTAAAGAACCTTTACAGGCATTACTGAAAAAACATCATAAAATATCCTCATACACACAGCTGAGGCTCAATAAGCCAGCAGCTTGATGAGCAAAAAGGGCCTAAGAGCTCACCCTCTGGTAGCACTGAGGCAGGGCATTTTCCAAGGAAGGAGGAGTTCGCTGCATCAAAATCCCAATGGATTCTTTTAAAAGTGGAACAATACTAGAAAGAAAAAAGGAAATTAGCTGTTATTACATTTTCAAAAGATGCAACCTAAGATTCCTTAACACTAATGAGAAATTCTTCTTTAGTTGTTCCACTAGAAGCTGAGAGTGTTGCCATGAAAACCTAGTACAGAAAATAGAAGGATGTACAAAATTGCTATGGTGTCTTACCAAAGGCAAGATTACTTCTCCCTCACATTTTCCACAGAACTACCCAGTGGCTGATCACAGAAGACTAATAGTTTAATCATGGGATCTGAGATGAGACGTCTTAATATCTTAGAAGTTATACAACAAAGCAGCTGATAAGTATAGCTCAAAACCTACTTCAATGGCAAATCATTCACAAGTAATCACAACAATATTCAACTGCAATGGGTTTTGCCTTTGTGTTTGGCTTAAGGCATATTTTTCTTATGAACTAAGATAATAATGGGGCAATCATAAAACGAAATCAGTGTGGAGCAGTCCAGCTATAACAAAGTTAATTTGTCAGAAACAGACAATTTTGCATATTCTTGCAGTGAACTAAGTGTAGGGTCTCATCCAAACTCAGGGGTTAAACATTTGGAAGCAATTAGAGGTTCCCTCCTGGCCAAGTGGTCTTGTTTAACCAGATAACTAAGAAGACATTTAATATCCTTTTTTATTGTTATTACTTTTTTTTTTTTTAATAAAACCAGGAGACCAGTAAGCCCATACCCTGAAGCTACCACTAAAAAGTTATACTCTTATTAAGTGTCAGCATGGTACCTTTTTTGTTTAGGAATAGTGCACCATGCCTGGTTCAGTACAGCATTCCAACATTTTCAAGAGGATAACAAATATCTATAACCCAACACTAAAGCTTAAATAGCAATTTAATTTCAAGTCACCGAACACTCTAGACCAAAAGTGACTATATATTTCAGAAATGGTAAGCTGAATTTCAGAGTTCAGCACTGGCATCACAGCTGCAGTACACAGAGTGATAGGATTGAAAGCACACCCAAAACATTTGTAAGAGATTAACCAGGCTAGTTCTTAGAGAAAACCACAGAAACTTTGTTTAAAATCTCATGAAGTGATATGGAATGCATGGCACAGACCAGCTGTGTATTTGCAGATGGTGGACAACGTGACCTAACCAGCTTTAAACAGATGGTTCCATTAGTCCATGGAAGCAGTGCTGGCTGACTGCTCAGCTCACCCCTTGGCTAAACCTTAGCCAGGAGTGGGAGGGACTTAGAGGGTGTGTGACTCCTGTCTAATGAATCTCTGGAAAAACCACCACCCTAAAATTAAGTCTTCTTGCAGGCACAATGGTGGTTCCAGCCAAAGTCACTGCCTGGTGCACTCCATCACATGGCCTCACACAGTTGTGCTGCTACCAAGGCATCAGTTCGGAAATAGGAAGAAGCAATTAGGGACAAGCAGGAGTTGCCTAAACTGGACCTGTCACCAAGACAAACATTTAGCAGTGCAATAACTGTCAATCAGTCAAAAGGAAGCTTAATTGGAGTGTCACATTCTAGAGTGGATTACAGAAGTTTAGGGAAAAAAAGGTTCTCTTATTAATGGACCCATCTCACTAAATAATGTCCATGTCACAAGCATTACATCAAGGGGAGCTGGAGCTGCCAAAACACTCCACTGATGAATTGATTTCAGTTTAACTCACTATTTAAAATGCAGGTTTGCTTCTTAATAAAAACCTTGAAAGACCAATACACAACTTCAGCATGCAAACTGAATACAGGAATTTTGAACACCAACTCCATCTCCATAAATTTAACAAGGTCCCTGTAACATAGGCACCCAAAGGCTTCAAAAACCACACACATACAGGCTGCATATTTTTTCCCAGGGAAACAACTAAAGGAACGGAGAATGTAATAGCCTGCCTTTTTATTGAAACATACCACTATGAGTGAAAAAAGCCAGGAAAGAAATCTAACAAAAAATGCCTAATTTGCACAACTTACTTACATTATTTGGTAAAACTGATGTACATTATCTGATGGAAGGGAAATTAACTGTCAGTAGATTTGGAGAGACAGGCTATGAAACAAAACCATCTTAAAAGTCCAAAGAATAGAGGTAAATCAGGATGTGGCTTGATACTGTTGGTGAAGTTGAAGCATATCCTGGGTCACACCCTCATCCTCTGTCTTAGTGTTCGGATACAAATGTCATCTTTTGCAAAGCTGAAAAGGCCAAAAGACAGCTGCAGTGATGTGACAGGCCCTCACAAATGCTGTTAAGAGCACAGACGGCCATGGATACCCCTCTGCATCCAACAGGATACTATCTCACAAGACAGTCTTACTGTAAGCCAAACTAACACCACAAACAACAGAATCCAGTTTGATGATATCTGATGTTTTCCATTGTTTCATGCATACTACTTAAGTACAAAACTTTTAATTTAAAAACCAAAACTCCACACACTATGCTCTTTTCTCAAACATTAACTAAACACAGTTATATTTAATCACAAGGAGTCACTAGAAATATCAGTTCCATCTCATGAGACTGAAGAAAACATTACGAAAGATGACAAAACCAAGCAGGCTGAAAATGTGGTCAGAGAATTTGACACAGCTTTTTTTTTTTTTTTGGATTAGTCATTAGCGAAAAAAAACACATGGCTGTCTCTGCAGCAACTATTGCACTGGTACTTCCCCTCTTGTTTGTTTTAAATTATAAGAACATCGAGGAAAATAAACAATGCTGAATGCTCAAGTGGAAAGCTTTCTCATGCACAAGGAGTCTTTAAACTTTGCTGCTAAAGTACACTCAATTTTCCATTGGTCTCTTGATTACCAAGCCTTAAAATACCACACTCTTTTACAAGACAATGGAATTTGAAAGAGGCGCTAACCCACAGCAAGACTTGGGATAAAAACATATCCTCTGAAAAAGCTAGAACTGCAAAAGCAGCTAATGTTACAGCACATCACAGTTGCACATAACGCTGTTACAGAAGAAGTGAAAGGTGTTCAAACAGATAAAAGCTATTTATATGAATCTGATAAATCCAGCCTGCCAGTGACACAAGGCTTGATTAAAAATGAAGAGTGAAAGCATCAAACTCTTAATTAACCTGCATCACATTCAGATAATATTCGTACCCATTCCAGTCCCATCCTATTTATGCCACTGTTTTTGTAGGCATAGCTAGCAAGACCCTGGCATTGTTATAATCTCAGACTGCAGGGCTGAAAACAACACTGGTAAAGAACCCTTTTCACAGTCATTGCACTCAGAGCGCAGCAGGAAATTCATTCAGTGCTCTCAGCACTACAGAAAAGAGAGGACATTTGTGATAGATTTTGTGGAAGGTAAACAAACATTGCTAAGGATCAAGACCAGCTATGGTTCTTCAAATACCATAGCTGAAAATCTACAGCCAGATTTCCAAATTCTTTTTTTTCCCCAAACAGCATCCATATCCACAGTGCCAAGGCTGTCGGCCTATTTGAGAACTTTAATAAAATTTTTCTACTAGGCAATGGCAATTTTAATCAGACTGTGAGCTTTGCTCAAGACAAGGATCACAGGTTTAAAATTTACTTTACTGATTTTGAATTGCTTGTTCTCATAACAACACAATACCTTGACTCTCAAGCAAGGTTGGCAGGTACCATTACCCTGTAAATAAAAGCAGTGCACGACATTTAGCAATAATGGCTTAAAACAACACCAATGACAAACATGTTAGTTTGGAGGAGTTTTGCTATAAAACATTGCTTCTGAATCTTAGAGAATGCAGCACTTCATTTAACAAAGTAATTTTTTTATATTCTTATGCCTCAAACATTAAATGGCATATATCCCAAACAGTACTGGGACACCCTCCCCCAAAGCTCTTTCATAATATATCATGTTCAAGAAGCTTTAGATTTTATGCAAAAAAATTACGTAACCCATGGAAACAACTTCACTAAATGTAAATTTCTTTGACCACTTAATATGTAGTCTGCATACCCTATGCAATCTAGTACGAGATTTAGTCTACTGTGCCTTTCTAGAAACATGTGGGTCTAATAGTGGTTTCAGACAAACTTGATTTATACTAGAGTTGTGGCTTTTGTGTGGTGTCTAATTTCACATAGCTGACTGAAATACTAAAATTGCTTCAACATTTCTGAATAAGGCTTAGAATACTAAGGCTAAAAACTAAATGAATATTTAGTTTTAAGTATTAAAAGCAGTTTAGAGACTTGAGAAATTGAATATTGATTCAGGCACATACGATTATGAGGACAACACCTTGGAAAAAACTTCAAGAGTGTCAACCTGAACAAGTATTAAATAGTCAAGCTTTTGTTAAAAAAAGCAACCTTAAAAATGTTAGTAAGATAGACTTGTCTATTTTAAGTATGTCCTATTTATAATTAAATGGACACTTGCATGAGATAATACCAAAAGTAATCAGAGAAGGGTTCATTAGATATTAGGGGTTGCATCCAGGCAAACTCAAATCCCACAGCAGATTTTCACTATGCAGTCAGAATGTTCTGTGCTAACTCAGGAGGTGTTAGGCAGAGAATATGTCACCCTGGAGCAGCCTTAGTGAAGGATCACAGAAGCAACACAGAGACACCGTGTCAGCAGCTGACAATTTGCACTAATTAGAGATGTTGTCTACAGCACGGCTCAACCATTTGATTTAAAAGCACTGCTTGACTTCTCCGAGAAAGCGTTGCTCAACCCTTCTGCCTCTGCACAAGACAGAGCAGGTTACAAAGTAGAGTCTGGACAGCTTTATACTGCAGCAGTAAGCTTTTCAGTCATCTTATATAGGTATTTGTGTGATTTCTTTTGGCAAGTGCGACCATCATTTTAGAAACCTGAACAGAGAAGACCCACTAACAGAAGCAGGCAAGACTCAAGTAAATCTGAGAGAACTGCCCCAACACTGAAGCAAAGCAAATACTCAGTAAAAGAATGAATGAACAGTTATCTCACGTAGACACAAGCAACACTGGATTAAGAGCAATGACTTTCCTCTGCACTCTCCTGCAACTGCTTTCTCAAAAAGTTTCACAAAAGGGAATAAGGATTTGTGTTCTGGCTTTATTCCTTTTTTCGATATATAAGTATCATAGAAAGAATACAGATTAAAAAAAAAACCACACACAAACTCCCAAAAAACTAACAACAACAACAAAAAAACCCAAACAAAACACCAGAGAAAAAAGAGCCCAGGATCAAACCTACCCCCTACTCATGCCCTGCAGACTCTAGGTCAAAATCAGACCATTATGCAATAACTTGGGAGGATACAGTTCCAACTAGGGTGAAGTCCCCAAACACCATTAAAACTTCTGGACAACCTTATCAGACTGGCTTTTGCATCTCTGACTCAAAATTATGGTTGCGTTATTAGAGTCACAAAGATCCTGATTACGGAACAGATCCTGGTTTTTAAACACACATTCATGGGGTCCACTTGTTGGGGCACACACACACTCTCACCCCACTTCACCTTATCAAAGTTGGTTTAACTAGTAAAAGGGACACAGAAAAAATGGACAAATATTCCTTTGAAACAGCAGACAATTATTTAATCTATGTACACTAATCTAAGTGTATGGAAACCTGTGTTTTACTCAGCTACTACCTTTACCTCAGCAATAGTTTCTTCCCTCTTGGTAACCTGCACATTTCCCTTCCCATATTTTGAGATTTCAGTAATAGAAGTAGCTTGTAATAATTTGTCCATTACGAAATTACAAGATGTTTAAGTCAAAATATTAAGAGTTTATATTAAAATGATAACAGTGATCTCTAGCAGAGAGATTTCTGTGGGTGTTGTGTCTGAAGTACGCTGCCCTACTTTGATAACTAGGGAGATTCACATCAATAATCCTTTGAATGCTGCCATGCATATGCTGTAAACATGCCATACATGGTATAAGCATAAGTAGCTGCAGTTCAGATGACATTCACCAGTGCTGAAGAGACAAAGGTGTTCAGTTAGTAGGTTGTAACTGGAGTTGTAGCACGCTGCCCTGCGCCACCATTGAAACTGCTGCCAGAAAACCTCAATAACAGCAGCACTGAATGAAATATTTGCTTGTCCAGTCTAATCCAAATAGCTTCACATTTACAGTGATCTTGGTAAGCACCAACTGGAAAAGTCTAGAGCTACTTGAAGCATTTCCGTCAGGTCTTAAAAGGAATAAGGATGTCTCAGAGTACAAATACAAAGGAAAAGACAGTTTTCACCAGGGAAAGAAAAAAAAATTTAAAACCTACCAGCCTTGATTTGTCAAGGACAAGGGCACATCCTGTGCCAGCAGGCTCAACTCTGCTGCCCTGAAGCCATTCTGCTCCATTTACTGGAGTACATTGGTTTATATAAGCATGTACTAAATACAGAGAGGAAGCTTTCTACAGTTTGAACCTGAAAGACATTTTTGTAGTATTATGCAAACGGGTAAAATATGCAGATCTAAGAGCAAAAGTTGTAGCTGTAGAAAAGGGAAAGAAAATAGCTCATACAAGAGCTCATCAGAACAGCTGTAAAAAATAGAGATAACATACCCCTCTCGGAAGAAAAGCAAACATTCTAAGTCATTAACATAACAGACAAACCTTTTCTTCTGAGCTATAATTTCTGCTGTAACTAGCATCAGAAGTACTACCAAATATCAGTGATAGCCACGCTTACCTTACACCTATAAGTAGTGCTATCAGCATTGAACAAATAGGATCTGCTATCATTAGACCATAGTTCTGCATCAATATAGCAGATATGATCACACCAATACTTCCGAGCGTGTCTGCCACAATGTGCAGAAATACACCTGTAAAAGATCAATTGATATCATTACAACTTGGCATTCTCAAAGACATGTATTTCAAAGAGATTTTACAGAGAAGAGTTGCAAGAACTAGATAACATGATTTATACCTGTTTAATTTGTGGTCAATTTTGGGTCAAGCATACAAAGTGATCACAAGATTTTAACATATTTTTAGAATATAGACCACTTGAAGAATTTACATTCTTTTCTTCAGTTAGCAGTAAGGAGTATTTCATAGCATGGCTATCAACTTAAACAGTGATTAATAGATGCAGCTAGATTTTTTCATTCAATACCCACCCACAACATAGTAAAGAAACTCACATTCCCTGATGCCTACAGACAGTGCTAAGATGGACAGACTATTAACAGAAACAGCTCTGCAAAGCTTTGAAACATGCTATTGTTTCATTGATGACATCTTCCAGAAGTTATTTGGCAAAGACATTCAAGACAAATAGTTTTGAGAATTGAACACTGCTGCAGACATGAAAAACTTCACTCTTATTTTGAAGAACAACACTGCCTTAAAATACAAAGTAAGATGTACTTTGCAGCTAGCCAAAATTTAGCCTTTGGAGCTCTCTGCTGGCAATGATGGGAAGTCACTCAGAAACAGCTTTTTGAATACAAGTCTCCAGCCCCTTGTCAAAACAACACCCAACTACAAATCAGCTCTTAAGTGATTTTTCCAAGCCTGCATTTGTATTGGGTCTGGCTGGGACAGAGCCAGGTTTTCTCCACAGCAGCCTGCATGATGCTGTGGTTTAGACAGCATCAAGGCCTTTCGTTTTTCACTGACCCCGGAGCAAGTAGGCTGATGGGGGCAAGATGCTGGGAGGGCACACAGCCAGGACAGCTGACCCAAAGGGACCAGGGAGATACTCCATACCATCTCACACCATGCTCAGCAATAAAACTGAGGTGCTGTCTTTTCAAAATAGCTGCTCAGAGACTTCCCCAGACATTGATCTGCTCGTGATTGTCTTTGTGAATGATTGTCTGGTGATTGTCTTTGCATCACTTGGTGGGTTTTTTTTTCCTCAGTATTAAAAAATTAAAATAAAATGGAGTGGTTTTAATATGCTTCAATTAAAATGAAGTTTTCATGACTTTCAATACATATGCATAATATGGGGTACTGTAAATTCTGGAAGAGGTTGTAAATGTTCGTTTTTAAACAAGACTGAAAATCATCCAATAAGAGAGAACACTATGTACATTTGGGTATGCCAAATAACTACTACCTCCTACATCTCATAATTGTCTCCCTCTAACTGCTGAACCTTTTAAAAACAAAACCAAAACCAACAAACAGCCAACCAAAGCTCAAAACCAACATCTAAACTAACCATAACTAATGCTCAAGAGATCAGGGATTCCAATACTTCTTCAAGAAATTTAGAGCAAACTACCATCTTCTTTAAACCAACTCTAAGAGCTTGATGAAAGATAAGTTTTAAGCTCAGATACTCTTTAACAATTATATCTATCTGCATTTTTCAAATACATTCTATCTTAATCATACTGTTCTTCATTTTCCAGTACATACACTGCAATTAGGCTCCTTAGGTTTCTGCTTTTAACCACTTTTTCCTAGTTTTTCATTATTTGCTTTTTCAGCACCAGTAACAGAAGCTGAATCCCAGATTTTGGGATCTCTCTTTTAAACTGTGTTGACACTGCATTACATTTAGACTTCAGTGAATGACACATGCACAGGGTGCAGCACTGCTCTGTTTACAGGGGAATGGGATTTCATAGAATAGCTCCTCTAAGAAAAATGTGGCATTTATCCAGAGGAACCCTCTAAAACAGATGAATTACAGGCAGACCGTGATGAAACCAATAAACCTTTATACTTATTATCATAGTACCTTGTAAAATCTGTTTGCTGGATCCAGCCACTGCTTCAAGAGAATGGTCATCTGTGAAGACAATTATTGACACATTAACCTAGGCAAAGGCTCTCTCTAGTGGTACATTCTGTTATGGTCTTATTTTTGGAAATTTCTAATTGCACAACAACCAGGATAAAACTTGGAGAAGGTAGAACTAAGCAAAAAATCCTCTCATCCAAGCAGATTAATGCCTCTGTGGAACACACTAGAAAGATATATTAAGAAAAACTTGTTAAAGGATAGCAAATAACTTCTAGTGAGGATACACAATATATTACACAAAAGTTGATTCGAATAACAAATTGCACAACACAGCTACATTCAGTGTTCCACTGAGGTGGGCAGTGTGGGGAAAGCAAGGAAGAAGCAGAAGCGGGGAGCTCCTACTTTCCAACCAAATTCCAGGAGAACTCCTGGAAAACAAGCACCACTTTTCTGCTAAGAATAGCAAGGAAGAGACAAGTAAATATTTTTACACTCTCTGTCACCTCCTGTCTGCAAGTTGCAACACTGTTCCCTGCTCTGAATGTGCACATTTTTAGTCACATCATATCCTAGTTTATGGCTTAGGCGGGAAGGACTGACAACCCTGCAGCACCACAAGGTTTTCATCTGCACTGTTTCAATAGGTTGCCTCTTCTCCCATAGTGAAGGCTACTGATCATATTTTGTGTGAACGTCTCTTCCCAGATTGTTTGCCTTTATAGAAAAGATCTAAACATAGCTAAGATAACAAGCCCCTTTTTCATAGCCACCTTTTTAAAACAGATTACAACTACACAAGATGGGGAAAATCTTATTTGAAATCACAAACCAAGTACAACTAACAATCCATAAGTATCCAAAGTTTGTTTGTTCATATTTTCTAATATCTTGAGCTGTAAGATTATTCAAATGGAGAACACTAGCAAAGCAGCTTAACTTTGCCTATGGATTTAAATGAAAAAATTGAAGCTGAGCACTTGATAATTTCATTATATTGCCATCGCATACAGCTGTTCCACCCTCTGCCAACACATAACATTAAGGTGAACATTTAAAAACCACAGGTAAATCACAGCCTTTAAAAACTAACACTGAATTTACTGCAAGTGACACATAAAATGAGCCACGACACGTGGCAGCAGCACAGCATACTAGACATGTAATGAAACTACTTCCATGTATGATCACAACAAGCTGCCAGCACCCTCTCTTTTTTTCCAGTAAATCATTAGTAGCACATTTAGATTGAGTCAAGATGGTCTAGGACATTAACTAAGTACTTACCATGACAATAATCCTGACCATGAGAGTGCCCATGGCCGTGCCCATGACTGTGTCCATGGGCATGCTTCTGTTCATGGCTGTGCCCATGACCTCCGTGGCTGTGCCCATGTCCGAGACCACCATTAAACAGAGAATGACTGTGTTCATGCCCTATAAACAAATACCACCATCAGAGGAGGAACTTAAATAATTAATTAAAGTACGCTTACATTTGTTTCTAAGCCACTCAAAACCTATTTGCCTTTTAGGTCATCTTAAGGTACAGCTTTAAATAACTTAAGAAACTTAACAAAACTGTTTGTCATCTACAGCTCTGCTGTGCAGCCATATAATATATATATAAAAATTATATATACGTACACAGGCACACTAAAATATATAACTGATTTGAGAAGTCAAGTGCTTTTATGCATTCCCACTTCTGAGAAGCTGTGCTACCCTTTTAGTACAATTTGAAAAATGTTCACATAATTAGATACAATCACATTAAAAATAGCTGTTTTAAGAAACCAGAAATGGGCTATTGTTCACACATTCAAAATTCAAGCTTAGATTGCTGCTTAAAGACAAAAGACTGTTTTCTTCCACTAGACTATGTAAGTTTATATGTTAAGCTGAATGAGACACCAATAGGCTTTGCAGAAAAAAACCCAAGTGTTCACCACATGTATTTAGGCAAATAAATTCTGCATTTCAATTCAAAGACACTTGAGTTGAGAAGCACCTGAAGCTGAATCATCCCATGCTTAAAATTTGGTTCAGACAATGTTTTCTAAATTTTTCAGCCACAACCTTGTTTAAGTCCAGCTTAATTTTTTCTGAAAGACACTCTGCAAATCTCTTTCAACAAGGTGCAGAACAGTGCCTGTTCCAGAAAGCAGATTCTAGAGTTCTAAGTGTTCCAGTTAATGGATATTAACATGAGAAGTACAACAGTGACTAGGGCTAGTGACAAAACACAGAAGTCAGAAGTCAAATATACATTTGGCTAGAATTGCTACTAAAAAGACATTAAAATTTAATACTGGGGTTCTCATTGGAGGATTATAAGGTCCTGGAACACAAGGTGCCAAGAAAGGAAACAGTACTGGAAGTTACAGACATCCTACCAGCTCCATGTGAATGCCCGTGACCTCCATGCTGAAAAACAAATATTCCTATAAGATTTACAATGAATCCTAGTATAGAAACAGGAAGAAGTCTCTCATGATGCACATCAGGAGGCTCAAGTGCTCTCTAAACAAAAAAACAAAAACAAAACAAAGCACAAATGTAGAGTTTTACAATTTCTTTACATTATTAAAAGGTGCTGAAAAACCACTTAGATACAGGAGCATTCTCATACAAACATATATACAGACATAATTAAAAATTACCCAGGACTACCAGTTTTTGGGATGATAGACTAATTCTTATTCTCTGAAGCTGAAATTTTATTATTAAAGCTCTGACAGTACAGTAGAATATTCTGATAGTCTAGCTAACTGTTATCATAAGATTTCATTTTGCTGTGGGATGTGACTCAACACCACATGAAAACACTCAAGTTTGTTGTAATATGTGGATTGCCCAAGTCACCTAAACAACTTCCACTATTTCTTCCTTTCTTCTGAGAAGAGTAAGGCAATGAGGGGAATGAAATGAAGACTGAGAACAAATTGTAACATTTTTTAGAACTTCTAAAATCTATATTGATTTTTGTTTTTTAAATTCTTTTTTACCTACTTTGGAATTTTTTTCTCAAGGAGACATTATAGACCTAATACAATTTGCATCTGAAGTGTTGACAGGCATAAATTACTGTTGACAGAGGACATAAACATTCACCATCTTTCCACAGGAATGAAAGGTACAAGCAATAGCAAGACAATGAAACTTTCAACAGATGTAAAACTTTAAAGCAACAACGAGAAAAGAAGTCACCATCACAAGGAAAGGGAATACTTCCCATAGGGGCTAAGACCAGCAGGAAGAGAATTACGTTTCAACAATACCCTGGATCAGTCAGCTTTTAATTTTTCTAGTAAGTTTTGTTCCTGTTTCTAGATTTGAGGTTTTCCCCAGCTGATAGGCAATTTCAGCCCAGCTTGTACTGATTCTAAAGTATTGACAGGCTTATCAATGCAGAAGATGTGTTCCTGAAAGCTCTTCCCAGTTCTTTATTAAAAAAAGAAAAATTCACTAGAACGTCTTATGAAGTAGAAGTCTAAACAAATTTATAGTCTATCTCTCATTAAAAAGTAAAAGCATTAATGCAAGATGATCTGAAATAGTTATCAATTTTACTCTTAATCCTCAATGTTGCCCTTAATGTCTAAATTTCAATCTTGAGATTATCACCTGAATCATCATGTAAAAAAAAATTCAAGAAAAGAGCCTTTGTAGATCTCTAAGTTATTACTACTTGCCATTTATATCAGACTTCAAGATTTGGAGGATAGTGCTCTATCTTTAACAAGTTAGTCCAAGTTCTTTACAGATTGTGACCTATGACTAACTCCTCTGAGTGGCTACTTTGGGCCTTTCCTTCTTGGCCTCATTTGTCCTTCAACAATGAAAAGTTAAGATCTTTCTATGACACACTTAACTTGCTGAAAAAAAGGACAGGCTACATCTCACAGAATCTTTACACATAAACAAAATACACTGTTTAAGAAGCTAGTACAGATACTCTGAAAAAGCTGAGTTTCTGTGTCACAAAACAGCAATTTCAGATGGCCCTATTCTCTGCTCAAATCACAGATTTTTAATAAATTATGAACCTAATCAGTTTATTTAACTCAATAATTTCACCCCTATTAATAACAGAAATGTGACAATTGACAGTGTAATTTACTTCATAACATACCTCAACGCCTTCAGAAAAAATGAAGAACGCTGTAAAGATGAGGAATAAACCATTTACAAAACCAGCAAGTACTTCTGCTCGAACATACCTGCAAGAAACAGAAAAAGCAATAGCAGATATTACCACATTCATTTAAATACTGAAATTTAGAAGTGGAACTTAAAGACTGGAGTGCAATCTTCTAGTTCTCAAACAGGTGTATTACAGAGGAATTTGCTAAATGGAAGATCCAGCATATTAACTAAGTATATGAAATGGATTAAGTTGTATTTTGATAAAAACTACCTGATCCACATCAGCTATTACCTGCTCTACAGGAAAGAAATCTTTCAATATGTCAAAATCTTTCCAATTAAGATCATCTCTAGTGGAAGTTGTGGTATAAAGATATATTTGGGGAAGCCACAAACTAAGATAAGCATGCGAAATGTAATCGAAGTCTTCTGATGTAAAGTTTCGTTCAGTATCAAACCGATATACACTAATTTGCTTCCCATCTAGAAGGGGGATTACTAGTGAAAGTTTTAAGTAGAAATTAATTATTTCAAACATCCAATTTTGACAATAAAAAACTGCCAGGTTAGAATAACATGTAATTTCCATGTAGCAAACATCAAACTTAATAAATTGTGTCTGTTCTCCAATAAATGGAACACCAGCTGTTTAAATGAAGAGCAGTAATTAATACAGAACCTGCTTTCATTGCAATTGAGTTCATAGTACGATTCTTCGTAAACTGATTTTTGGGCACACTGGAGTTTCCACCTTAATTAAACTGTGCTTTAAGTTTCAAACTACAGGATTCACATTTAATCAAGACAGCTGAAGCTAAATGATGACACTCAGGTCAGTAATGTTATGGGGAGTGCAGCAGCCCATGTTACACCACATTTGCTGTTAATCAGTATTACCAATTAATAATATTGTACCACCAGTATTGTTTTACAGGGCAGAACTGCAACGTTCAGTGAAACCAAGTGACCCTCAAACAAAACCAGCTGCAGCAAGTACATCCACCAAGGGCGGGATGGGATGACACCTCAGCCTTGAGGATCCGGATTAATGGCAGCCACAAATGGCAGATGTCAAATCCTACTGATTCCAAGAATCATAGTTTATAATCTCAGATGCAGCATCTCTGTGACTTAGCTCCTTTCAGCTGTAACTTTCTGTTCCAAAGAAGGCATGGGACAGCAGCAGCCAAAGCCCCTGTAACACTCCTCATGCACTGCGAGGACAAGCCCAGGATGCAGCTCTCACTCTTCACTGGTGCCATTAATACACGACAGGGCAGGGCACCTTTCTCCTGTATAACTTGTTTCCACTACTATGATCACAGAGATCTTGGAAGGGATAAAACTTCTCCCCAAAAGCAATGCCTTCATATTTTTACTATTTCTAGGGGGATATTAACTTAAAGGTTTACATAACTCACCTTAAAAACCCCCACACTTTCAACATAGCTTTTCCATGTTCTGCAAAAAGAGGTTTTGTTTATAGAGTGAAAAATGACTGCCTAAACAGTTATTACAGTACATCAAGGTAACAGCCTGAAGTTTCTTACCCATATGAGAAAGCATCGTTTGACCTCCATTTTGAAATAACTGAAGCTGCTAATCCAGCCAATAGAGCAGTACAGTCAAAAAACATATGAAAAGAATCTGATATAAGACCTAAACTGAAAGAGAACAAGAAAAAAATGTTATGTTCCACAGCCAATTATCTTTTACACACTAGCAGAATACACTGCATTTCTAAGCTTCAGGCACAGTTTTGCTAGCACAGAGGAGAAATCCACAGTTCATCACCAACACAAATATAATGCCAAAATTGATTTTATCAGCTTAGGAAAGGCACTTGGGAAGAGTCCTTGGCAAAAAACATCCTCCTAGCATATGATTTTGGTGCTAGTGAAAGGTGGCTTCCCCCGACACAAACCAAAACCTCTGGAGTAGATCTACCCAAAGGCACACCTCTTGCTAACATAATACAACCTTAAATATTTGCCTTAGCAGCTGCAAGGCATTGACTAGAAGACCCACACTCCTCTTAGATCTAGAAGCTGAAAGATCATATCTTAAAGGATTTATTTCAAAGACCAATGCACAACTACAATCTTGATTGACACAGTTCAAGTGTAGGGTAAAAAAACATGCTACAAAGTTCAAAGCAACTTAAATTAGTTCATGAGTTACTCGGTCAGTAGAACTCATATCAGTTTGTAAGCTATAGGTAAACTGGCTTTAACACCACACACAACAGCTGTCAAAGTTAACTAAATTACTCATAAACAGGTTCTGTAAGTCTGCAAGGAAGCATGTGCATTGAAACACAAAATTCACTTCATATTTGGAAAGACATTTGATACAGAGGTACTGATAAGCATTTCTTACTACAATCGTTCCAAACGTTCCATTTTCCCAATCCTTTGGTTGTCTAAGAACAATTATGTACACAACTCAGTTTTAGGAAACTGGAGAACAAGAAGGGTTTACTAGTAGTAATAAGTTCTAGAGGACAGCCACATTTTCACACTGAAGTCAAACACAAAGTTTCATTAGCCAGAGTTCCAACTACCTCACATTAAAAAAACTAAACCATCTGAGTCTGACTGAAAACAATTACAAAATTAATCTGAAGTGTTTCAGATGAAACACTTAACTGTGAAAGAAGTGGGTTTGGAAGAGAGGAGAGAGAGCGAGTGTCTCGATCTATATATTTACATATATACTTTATGGACACATACAGAGTTATATATATACACAACTGTAATATTTAAGGCAGAAAGATGATGGCATGATGAATTGTCCTTAGCCAAAGCAGGAAACAGATGGAGTTTTTCTGAACAAACTTTAAAAGACCACCAAATGTTTTAGCTGGATGCCTATGAAGCAGCAAAATGGAATTTGCTATGGAATTCTTGAAGGGTGTTGGTGACAGCTACCCCCTGCCCCAAACCAGGTGACATCTCTAGGGAAACTCATTGCTTTAGATTTGGTTCCTTGATAAGGAAGATTCAGTGGGGGAAAAAAACCCACAAAACACACCAAACATTCAGGTAGAGTTACTGTCACCCTATTTACCTTCTAAGTGGTAATGATTATGAAATGGGAGAAATAAGCATGGCTAAACAGAGATAGCTAGTGGTTTCTGAGGCCTCTTTTTGGTGTTGTTTTTTTTTTCCCAATAGAGTCTTTTGGGAAAGAGAAGTATATAAAGGCTGTTACTGAAGCAAAATCCCATACTAGCTCCAGAACCAGAAATCATACAGCAAGTTACCATGGCACTGTGCTCATACCTGCAAATCTCAGCAAGGCAAGACTCACAGTAGGTGCAACACCAGTACAGCTGTACTGCTTTCAAGACCTAAACTCACAATTCCAGGTGGCCAGAGGCATGTGGATTTATCAACAGGGAACAGCATAGCCTGTGTCTGCAGCGCAGTTCACCACATGGCATAACCATGCTCTGGATCATGGGTACAGCTATAAGTGATTTAGCAGCACAAGTGGCAGGAAGCCTGGTAAGAGGCCAATCTCATTTCATCTGGGGCTTTTTTTAAGTGACCTATAAATTAACAAGACTTTTTTAAAAAATGTGTGCAAAGTTATTACTAAAGTAAACAAGTGATTCAGTCAACCATTAGCAACATGGGATGTATGGAAGAACTTTGTTTAGAAATGGAACACATCATCCAGAGTATAAACTACAGTGTCTAAATGAGAACACTTCCACAGCTCATTTAATAACACAAGTTTAATACTAAATTACACAAGTGCGCATGTAATAGTATTTTAAAACAGAACAGTCCAAGTAGCAGATTTCAAATTTAAACAAGCTCTCAGCTAGCAAAATACCATATCCAGCTCTGTTTTCTGTGCTTCAAGATTGTCAGCATTCCAAAGTATTTCTAGGATGACCATATAAATGACAAACCAGCTATGTGAGTTCAGGAAGCAACCTGCTTGGCAAACAGAAGGTAATCTCTCATGTGGGGAACAACGGAGCTGTGCTCTGCAAAATGAAGAAATAATTTTCCCTATATGGCTCCTTGTTTGCTTGTTATGTGCTTGTTCTTCCACAGCATGAACTGCCTGCTTTGACTGAAGGCATTCCTCATCATAATCTCTGCTACCGCTCTCTACTCAAGAGGTGCTTGCTAAGACACTGTTTTGTTGTAGCCCAAAATCTAGGCTTAGAGATACTCAGAATTAGTGACTTGAAATATAAACAAAACTAATGCAAATCACAATTCTTAATCTCAATTATGAAAAAAAATAAGTGAGTCTTCTCAATTCCAATTGCCAAATTCTACAGTGACAAACTGCCAAGTGCCACTATTAGTTACCTCATATGCAGGACTTTTTTAGGTCCCACTATGAAAAAGAATTATGATTAAAAGACAGAGCAAACTCACATGAACATAAACCTCTTCATACCCAAACTACAGAGAAAAATATTTACGTCTTCTGAGTTATTAGGAAAAAACATCATACTCAAACAGACTATGCACATAATAACCCTCACACAACTGCAAAGTGAATCAACATGAAAGCCAAAACCAAACACATAGTCTGTGTGCTACTAAGATATTCTGTGCCCAAGATAACACTGTGTTACACTACAGTGATACACTGTAGCTTTGATTAATTACTGTAATCAAAGTTAAGGATTTTATAGTGTATTTTAAGAGGTTCAAAAAAACATAGTGTTAGGATGCAACTGTTTCCAAATCCACATTGCTGCGTTCACTCAAGACTCTTAAAAAGAAGAGTCTCAATAATTTGTGTCCATACTACAGCTTTTGAAAAGAACTACTTTAAGTTCCATGTGGAAGGACACTGCTGTGCTTAATTCACATTTCCAAGGCAGTCCACTCTGAACTAAACTACAGACAAAAGAGAGTGAAATAACACCATAAAACAACTTCTCTATCATGAATGAAGCATGACTGATGCTAGCACCACTGTCTACCTGTATACCATACATCAGTACAGAAGTTACTTTGCACTTTTGCTTATATTGCACTGCAGATTTTTCAGTAACAATTTAGTGAAGTCTCTCCTGTTTTTTCCACCTTTGTGAATTTATGTGCTGTGTAAAGTATCACTTAATTATATCTGGATTTGCTAATTCCTGTTTCTTCCTCGGAAAGAGGAAGGAACCCAGGAATCAACCTACAAACCACACCATGCTCCCAAACAGAGGATGTCTGTGGCAAGCGGCAGCACTAAACGGTTACAACCCTCTACTCCTGTAACTCAGGCCAAGGCCAGGCTTCCTCCTCAGCCCAGAGCCGAGCACGACAGCAGCTCCAAACAGGATTCCTCCCGAAGGCGCCGAGTCGCGCCGCCGGGCCCCGGTGGAGGGGCGGCCGAGCCGGTCACTACCCATGGGAGCGCTCCCGGCCGGGGCAGCGTTCCAGCAGCCCCGAGGCTGTGCCGAGCGGCCCCTCCGCACGGCGGGCGGGAGGCCCGGCCCGGCCCCGCCGGGCGGAGACGTGGCACTGGCCGGACGGGAGGCGCCGCTTCCTGCGCGCTGGAGCCGCGCTCGGCCCGCCCCGCGCCCCCAGCCCCGCTACCTGTTACTCCAGATGCCGTAGAGCAGCTCCACGAAGGCAAAGGAGAGGTTGAGGCAGAGGAAGGAGAAGAGGTTGCGGGAGGTCTTGTCCGCCAGGATGGACCTGTGCACGGAGCACACCGCGGGTCACCGGCCGCCGACACAGCGGCAGGAGGCCGGACCCGCCCGCCGGGCGGCCCAGGCACCCCCGGCACCACCTTCCCCGACCCCTTCGCGGGGGCTCGGCCGCGGCCCCGCCTGCACCCGGCCCGCCCTGAGCCGCTCCCTCACCTGAACCAGCCCGACACCTTCCTGAGCAGGTTGAGCCTAGGCGGCTTATACTCATCGTCCTTGATGGAGAGGGGCAGCATCTCGGCGGGACCGCGGCGCGCTGGGGCCGGGCCGGGAGGACGGGCGGAGGGGCGGGGGCGCGGCCCGGCCGGCCCACACGCCGCTTCCGGCCGCCACTGCGCCTGCGCCGCCGGGCAGCGGGGCTGTGGGGGCGCGCCGGGGGCTGGGCCGGGGCTGCGGGGGAGAAGCGGGGCAGGGCGCGCTGCCCGCTGGTGACACACAGCGCGCCCGGGGCGGGAGCTCTGTTCTGCTCCGCCCCGCGCCGTGCCAGCCACTCGCGCGCGTTCCGCTGGCGATGCCGGGCGCTCCCGGCGCAGCTGTGGCGGCGGCGCTCGACGCGGGGCGGGGGCGCGGCGCGCCCCGCGTGTGACCGCCGGGGCTCGGGGACCCGCCGTGCGGCGCGGAGCCTGCCGGGAGGAAGCGCGGGGACGCCCCGCAGGAAGCGGCGCTGCCGCGGGGCCGCCCCTGAGTCACCGGAGGGGCTTGTGCGGGCGGTGGGGCCGGGCTGGCACCTCTGCTCCTCCGCCCTGCCCTGCCCTGCCCTGCCCTGCCCTGCCGGTGCCGCCTCGGGAGCACCGCCCGGCCGGAGGAAGCGCAACGTGAGCGAAGCCGTGGGCGCGGGGCGGGAGGTGTTGATGCTGCGGTGCTGCCGGGCCGCACCGAACTGCTGCGGGGTGCTGCTAACGGGGTGTTGCCCACCAAAGGACGGGCACCCGCTCGAGAAATCTTTTCTTCGGAACGAGGATTAAGACACTGGGTTTTGACAGCGGGGTTTTTTTTCGTCATTTTTATTTTGTGTTGTGTACAGGGAGTACTGTACGGTTTCTTAAAAGAGGTCAATCCTGCATTGCAGTTTCATAATTTAACTGGCAAAACTGATCTGCGCTTTCACAGCACATCAGAAAGTGCCATGATGCTAATTCTAAATAATCTAAAAAGACGCTTATTTTAATTAGGGACTGTATAATAATATAATCCTTGCTTGTCACTACATGTTGTAAACACTAGAATGTGTTATAAGCAAGGAAGCCTCATAAACAGCAAACAATATTGTATGCTTTTAAATTTTAATTTATCATTACAGTAGTACTGGTAAGTATTGTTGCAACTAGGTTCCAAACTGGGGAAAGAGGATCTAACGTTTTCAAAAGCACGTAGGATGAGGATACTTTGGACCTCATAAATGCTGAATAGCCACTCCTGCTAATAATTTTTAGCAATCAGGTGTGATTGTTTAAACCTATAAAATTAGGCAACCAAAACAAGTGATTAGCTCCTGGAAATAGTTTCAGTGACCTCTCCTCACAAAGTAGTGGTAAAATTGGAACTCAGATTTGGGAAGACCTGTATATGTGGACATATTCTGATTGTTATACACACAAATTGGCAAATCTGTATTTTTAAGAAGCAAGTTTATATAGCCCAAACAAATTTCTCCTGTGAAATTTCACATTGGTTCAATTATTCAATAAATTCAGCAAATTCTTGTTCTCTGAGCTTTTACAGTACTTTTCCTAAATCAAAATTAAAGACTTTTTAGTTTTAAAAGAACACAATCCATCCCACAATCTAAGAGCCTTAACATACAGAGGTTTCTTATACTGCTGTCCTGCAAAAGGAAGGATCTTGAATATCCTTCCTTTATGTGTTTACACTTATATTTTCCAAGCTGCCAAACCAGATGGGAAGAACAGAATTCTGTGTCTTAAACCCCTGATGTAACTCGTTAACTCAGTGGAAGGAGAACATGAAGGGGATGAACCATAAAATAAAATAACTTCATTGGGAGTACTTGCCTGACTGTGGTAGCCAAATATATATTTTAGTGGTGCCTGGTGAACAAAGCAACAGCTGGTGAGGTTCTGGAGAACTACTTGTATCTCTGTAGTTGAACTTAAGGATGGAACACACAGACATTGCACTGGCACAAGGCGACAATTTTATGAGTAGAGAAACATGCTGTTCTTTTCTTTTTGACCATCTGGTGTAATAACTTCTTTCTGGAGTGTTCATTGAAAGGCAGAGACAATTCAACTGAGCAATAGGAAAAAGGATGGGATAATTGCCATGAATGTGTATATCGCTCAATAATTGAGAGGAACTTTTACTTGTAAAAGAATGCTGGGTAGCATGTAGATAATTGTTGATCTTCACTTATAGAGTCCCTTTAATTTCCAACAGATTTAAAGATCACAAACAACTGCCCTGTAAAAAGAAGGGGGGAAAAAACGATCCTACTTGGCAACAATGAGGTGAGTTGCGAGGCTTTTTAGATTAAAATAATCTACATTCACATTTTCAAGCATGGTATTTGCACTTTGGAAAAGAGGGATTAAAAAATCAGTGAAAAAACACTCTCAAATTGTGATTGTTCAGCTGTCCTGGATCACTGAATTTGATCAGAATTCCCTGCTGAAAGCCTAGAAATTACTAATGGAGTAACATGAGTAATATGTATAGATGAGTAACTGCTTATAGTAGCAAGCTTAGAGTATTTATCTTGCATTCAATTCATACTAAAGCAAAGTAGGAGAGTAAAGGAGGAGAAAAGGAAACTGTATGAAGTTTAACAAATAAAAGTGCTGGATTCTGCAGCTGGGACAGGGCAACCCTGGATATACAGACAGACTGGGGAATGAGATGCTGGAAAGCAGTGCCATGGAAAGGGACCTGGGGGTCCTGGTCGCTGGCAAGTTGAATCTGAGTCAGCAGTGCCCTGGCAGCCAGGAGGGCCAACTGTGTCCTGGGGGGCATCAGGCAAAGCATCGCCAGCTTGGTCAGGGAGGGGATTGTCCCGCTCTGCTCTGCACTGGGGCGGCCTCACCTCCAGGTGGTCCTGTGCATTGATATAGGAATATAAGAATTAACGTAAAAATACAATAAAATAAGGATCTAAAGCTATTGGAGAGCATGCAAAGGAGACCTACAAAGATGGTGAAGAGCCTTGAGGGGAAGCTGTATGAGGAGCTCTTGAGGAAGCGTCTTCTCTCCCTTTTGCTTCTCAGCTAAAGTAGAGCTCCTGCAGTGCTCAAAATACTGAATCTGAACAAATTTGCTTTCTAATTTCAGCTGGATAGGTTTGATTAAATATATCTATGTTCAGTCAAAAACACAGTACTGAGAAAATAAGAAACAATAAACAATCTGAAGAATTATTCTGGATTAATTTCCACAAAAGAATGAAATTCAAAGTTAACAAAAAAAGGTGAAAAGCAAGTAAACATAGAAACAGAGTACCAGAAGTATCTGTCTTGACAGTAATTGACCAAAGTCCTAAAATCCTCCTTATTTATTTACTTGAACCAAAATCTGCTTAATATTGTGGGAGTTCTGCTCATTAACATGGATTTAATGACTTTTCCTTTCTTGTTACTTGTTTTGAAGGTATTTTCACTTCTGTAAGCTTCCAGGAAGAGTTATGGGAATCCGCCTACTCCGCTTCACCTCTGTGGTGATCATCGTCTTGCTTCTTGTGGCAGGTGCTTTAACAGCTTTGCTTCCCAACATCAAAGATGACAAATTGCCCAATTTGAGAAGGGAACCAAAACCCCAGAGTCAGTCTGCCTTGGATTCATTTACTCTTATTATGCAGACATATAATAGAACTGACTTACTGCTAAAGCTCTTAAATCATTATCAAGCCATCCCCAACCTACATAAAGTAATTGTTGTGTGGAACAACATTGGTGAGAAGACACCAGAGGAGATGTGGAATTCCTTGGGTCCTCATCCTGTCCCTGTTGTCTTTAAAGTTCAAAGTGTAAATCGCATGAGAAACAGGCTGCAGAATTTCCCTGAGCTGGAAACAAAAGGTAATCAGCAGTTCATATCACTACTACTGATATTACTTTCATGCTTAAAATCTGAATGCTAAAAGAGAGATGGTTTGAATTACACTATGTAATAAAGCCATGGATGTGCTGGGTCACTTAGAATGTGGGTAGTATAGGGGAAACCGATGTTCTGATATCAGATGCACAGCACCAACAGGCTGTCGGTGAAGAGTAAGGAAAAAGAAGAGGGATGTCACAGTATTTCATGGGCTTTTGCAAGTGTTCCCCCTTTCCTTTGTCAGGCAGACATAGGTAGTTCAGCCTCTCTTCCTTGTGTAGCGTAAACTGAAATTCATAATGCATGTATTTGTTGAGTGTGCACTAATCTGGACTTAAGTCATCTGGTAAAGATTTGATGTAATCCATTCCTTTTAAGACTGAGTTCTCAAGCATGTTCTGCTCTTCTGAGAAGCCTCCCTCCCTAGCTGTCTGGCTTTTTTTCTCAAATTATGCATCCCTTTTAAGAGTATTTTCCCCAGTCTTTTGGCTATTCATCTAAATATTCTTCCTAAGCTCTTTCCAGGAGGTGCACAACAATAAGTCCTGTTTGTTTCAAGTGGATAAAAACCCCATATGTTGCATTACAGACCTGACCTTACTCATGATTAGTAAAGGTAATTCTATTTACTGCCCCCTTCCTAACATGCCTTGCTACTCCAAACCCACAATTTCTAGGAAGACATTAAAAACTTCAACTTCCCAAGTGTTTTATTTACTGTAATAGGATTTGTGCCTACTGTAAACTTAAAAAGCTTTAATGCATCTGGAGTTCTAAGATTATCCTTCCTTTTCCACTTCCTGATAGTCTTTTGTCTAAAATTCAAGGCAAAGAGTCTTCCTTCTATAGTTAATCATATTGAAAGTTGCCTGTGCAATTTATTTAACTTGCTTACTTAGAACTTGTAAGTAGTGAGGAATGAGTAAAATTTTACACTAAGAATCCTTTATAAGACTCATGCTAAAGAAAGGTATCTAACTCTATTTTAGTTGTATCTTTACACAAGATTAGCAGAATTTTAAGCTGCTTTGCCAAACACTCCCAAGTTTTCCAACACATATCTCTCCAGCTGTACTACAGATGGTCAAAAGTTGCTGGGTTTTGTTATAGCCTGGCAAATAATCTAAAACTTAGGTTTGCTTCCAGCTACCACAAAGCTGCAACCTTGCTTTAGCTTTGAAATATAGTTATGTTTTCTCAATCTACTTTCAAGGAGTTGTAATTCAGCTTAATGGTT